TTTTCTTTTCTTCACAGTTATATCTGCTAAAAAATCATCATCCTTATTAAAAATAAGAATGACTTTTAAATAAGAATCCTTATTTTAAAAAAATGCATCAAACTTATCTAAAAATGAGAATAGCATATAATAAGGATAGCAGTATTGAAGATTATTTTGTATAAGATGAACTAAAATCGAGAGAAATCCATGGTTTTCTTAAATGCGCAAATTAGTAAGCGTGAACAAATAATATAAAGTATAATAATATATACTCCCCGACTACAGCTCGTTCAAACTTATATATATGCTGCCAAATTTCAGTAGCTTTTTTTTATTGCACTAAAAGCAGTTTGAAATTGAAAGGCTTAATGTAATAAAACAGTCACAAATTGTAAATGAAAATCAAGGGTAGTTTAAAAAAATGTCAATAGGTTTACATAGTTTTCAAAACCTTACATTCGAGCTCGGTTTTTGCATGAAATGAATCAGCTTTGTTGTCTGAAAAATTATACAAATATGAGCAAAATAGATTTATTTTTAATTGCATCGAGATCTTCAATTTGAAATCATACACTTTAAAAAAAATTCCGGATCACATTACGGTATAAAGTACCGGCACTTTGCGTGCATCGTCCGTAAAATCCATTTTTGTAGTAAAACATACCGTAGTTTTTACAGCAATGTTTATTTAAAGTGATACGATAATTAGCGCTGTAATTATTATAGTGATACGGTAATTATTATTGTAAAAAGTACGGTATATCAGATTTTTTGTTCTGTAACAACTTTTGGAAAAAAGGGATTTTACGATAAAAAGTACCAGCAATCTCAGTGTCGGTACTTTTTACTGTATTCTGATCCAGAATTTTTTAGGGTGTAGTACGAAAAGTTTAATATGACTTACTTTTGCAAATTGTACTAAAACTTTCTTTTTATCAAATCATGCTAAGAAATTTTTGTTAGCATGAAATAAATCTTGCTGAGTTTAAAGTAATGAAGTAATAAAGTAATGAATATAAGGATGTTAACAAATAATGATGTAAAAGTAATTTGGAAATTAGTTTACAAATTATCAAGTTGTTGGTGAAAAATAGTTTAACACGGTATCAATTTAAATTCAAATCAAAATGCAGTTACGATTTTTTCAGTATGTAAAAGACAACCAATTTTGACCACATTAATACAGAAATTTATATATTTAAATTTTTTCATGCATCTACTCCTTATAAGGTTATAGTTTACAGGGAAGCCACAGGTGACTAAAATGCGACTATATGCAACTATTTTCAACCTGAGGCAACTATGGCAACTTTTTTGCCTGAAAAGGTTAATAAAGCAACTATTTTCAGAAAAAAGAGACTATTGGGAGATTTTTCTGTGCTCCTAATGATGTTTTTTAGCATAAAATTTGTTGATAACGCTGGACACAATGATTTTTTGAAAATTCTGATGAAATGATGAACAATGATGAAAATTTTGAATTGCAAATTTGAGTTATCACTTTTTAATGCTCTCAATATGCACAGATTCTATTGTAAATCTGTTTTGTACCTCGATCGCCTTTTCAATGGTGATTGCTACCAAATTCTGCTGGATTTTGAAAACCCCAATTTTTAATACGATTGTAGGATGTGTGATTTTTGAATTTGAATAATCACTTTTCACATATGGATATATATTTGCTAAATCAGTTATTGATGAAAGGGAAAATTCTTTAAAAAAAAAGTATGTTTTTTTCAATAAAGTATTTTTTGATGGAATTCTAGTAATTAAAATATTTAATTTTTCATAAATATTGTAATTTTTTTTACATAAAAATTTATTGCTAGAACACTAACGTTTATAGAAGAATTATCATATTTGGAACCAACCTGACTAAATGGATCATGTTATATGACAACTATGTGATTTAATAAAATTTTACTAATATTATAGAAAAAATTTTGTTCTTATTTAGGCAACTATTTTCATGCTTTAGGCTACTAAAAGCTACTGTTTTGTTTTTAATTTTTTGTGTGGCAACCCTGAGTTTAGGAAACTATAATAAAATATGGATTTCTCCTTTTTACTGCACCATCATAAGGGATTGCTTTTCTCCGTTTTTTATCATCACATTGGATTAAAATATTTTAAGAATTAAATGAATCATCAAGTTAGGTAATATCTTATTGGTAGATAAACTTTTATTTTAGCCCATTTTTTTCAGTAAGTTATATTTCAGTTTATTCTGTGGTCCAAGTTTCTAACAAGTTTAAAGTTTCAGCTCAAATTAGGACTGTTTAAAATTAGGACACGCTTTGTAAATATTACATGAGTTATCTTGTTGGGTCAAATTTTTCACTCATCTAGGCAGTCTGAATTGGCTGATATCAACTGAAATAAGCAATCAAACTGAACTCGACTACAAGTCAATTAAAATTATAATATTTGGTTGACTAAAATGTAGTATTAACCCCTTAACGATCGGTTAATTTTCGAGAAAACGGTCATAAAAGTGCCTATTTTTTTGGCTTTTGTATTCGCATTACGTATTTGATTAGTGCTGACATCTAGTTTAAAATAAACTAACTATCTACAATTATCTTAAAAATACTCAGGTACTGCCATCTGGTGTGTGAAATTTAAAATGAAATGTTTTCCGGGCAAAAGAAATGAATTAGTTTTATTCTTATTGGCGCGTTACTACTGAACACTCCAGTCCGTCAATATCACGGGAGCGAGAAATAGAGGGCGAAACTTCACCCCGTCATTTTCACGGGAGCGAGAAGGAAAGGGTTAACTATAATGTGTGATTGACAAATATTATCCAAAAACTATAATACACAATTGAAAGCAATAAACTATAAGAGCAATATATAAAAATAACAAAGAAACACAGCATAAACTACTTAATGAAACTGTACTACTTAATAAAAAGCAATCAAAACTACGATATACAATTAATTGAAGCACAGCATAAGTTACAAGGTACGTTTGATTAAAATATTATAAAAACTATTAAAAAACATTCTACTTATGCATTGCTATATGCAATGCTGTATAATAAACTAAAATACAATCGTAATTACTAAATATAAGGTTATTTATTCTAACTGAAAAAAGTACTATCACTTAAATAGAAAATAACTTATTATAAAAATATATTTATCAGTTTATAATATATTTTTATAGCTATCAACTAAAAATATAAACTATAGTATACATATGATTAGCCTAAATGATAATTGAAGTTTCCACGGATTGTTTTATTTACAAGTATACAATGTATAAAGAAAATCTTGAAAGGATGCATACACCCATCAAGTTTTTAGCACATACTACAAATATTGTGCTTGGTACAAATATTGTACGTAGGTACCCTAAGTTACCCAGACTATATCCTAATGGTATACCAGTTCCGTCCATATGTGCAATAAAGCGTTCCTGCATTATTGTTGGTAATGAGGGTACATAAATATAATCTTTCATAAATGGGAATTTGAGGTACATAAGCATTGTCATTTATAAAATTATGTTCAGTGCCCCAAAAGATAACCAAAACACCCTGAATTACTTTTGATCTGGTGATCGGATTTTCACGTACTAGGATTCAATCTTTATGGTTCAGGATGGGGACCTCAAATATGCTAAGTTCTAATCTTAAGTTATGAAATAAGACACAAAAATGTACTTTCCCTGAATGAACTTACTTTTTTTTTTAAGGATTATGATTTCCAACCCCCGAAATATAGGGTGTAGCAGCAAACTGGGAAATTATTGTCCCTATAGTTTTGCCTGAAGAGCGGCGAAAATTTGGAACCCTTAGAGTTAATTGTACTTTTTTCGTATATCGCCTTATCTCGAGAACTTTTTATGTGAATTGAGAAAATTTTGCACCCAATTATAAGACTCGTTTTATTTCCAAAGAGTGTTCCAAGCAGAAATAGTTTTTAATAATCTTTCATTATTTTTTTATTGTTGTATTTAATAATTGTCAATGTAAGGCACTCTAATTTCTAAAATCGCAAAGTAGACAAATTTTTGAAATTTCAAGATATACTAATTTTTACATAATTTCAAAGAATGTGATCTTAGATGGAAAATGCAAAATCTGTAGAATAGCTCCTAAGAAATCGAAATTTAAGAAAGTCAAATAGTTAAAATTGTATCTCTCAGGAACTTTTCAACTGATTTCATTCGAACATCGTATTTTGTAATATAAGATTCATATTCTTTAAAAATTCATATGTAAAAATTCATATTCCTTACAACTAAAAAAATATTTTTGAATGTTTTTAAATAAAATAATGAATGATTATTGAAAAATAATTTTTGCGTGAAATCATCTTTGGATAAATAAATTTCATAATTGCGGTCAAAAATGTTTCAATTCGTTTAAAAAGTTTTCGCGATATTACATAACATGAAAAAAGTAAAATTAACAATAAGGGTTCTAAATTTTTGACCGCTCTCCTGGCCAGGCTATTAAGACCATATGTCCGAGATAACCACTAGACCCTATATTTTGGGGGTCAGAAATCCGAATCCGTTAACAAAAAAAAGGGTATGCTTATTCAAAGAAGGTACGTTTTTGTGTCTGATTTCGTAACTTAAGTTATCGTCTGCACTAACTAATTAGTATATTTGAGGTCTAGCTGCCCGAATGATTGAAAATGGGTCTTCGTACTTGAAAATCTGATCATTAAATCAAAAGTAATTCAGTATGTTCCGTTTTCTTTTCCATTGCTTTAGTGCATTGTACACTAGCAGACTTTCTGCAAACTAAAAGTATCATTTAGGCTTACTCACTATAGTCGATCACTTTCAACTTGATTGACATATACTACCGTCCACAATGTACAGTACACAAAATAAGCTACGATACACAGGAACCTGCCTCCAGTAAGAAATTGAAAATAAATGGGATACTGAACTGTTAAGTACTTTTAACTACAAAGCACTAATCTTTCAATTCCATGAACAAATTCCTACTTTGATGGAGCATTTTAATAAATACTGGATTATCCTTTGTTCTACAGGTTTAGATCAAAAATACATCACTCCGATTGGCGATCAATTTGTCGATTTTGGAAAATTCAAAAAAACAGGTAAATTATTCTATTACATTCTTATTTTTAGTTTTCAGTATTTAGACAATTATAATTTTAGTACTAAATTTGAAACTAAGTATTTTGCAAGGATGAAGTAGGAAAAAAATTATTTTATTAGTTACTGTTATTAAAACCAACGCTGAGAATTTCTCATAAGTTATTTATTTGTCGATCTACATAAATGTTTAATTTAATGTTTCTTTTTGTTATATTTAACAATTTTCATGTGCTTATGTGTTTAGTTTTTGTTCTGCTTATTGTTAGATATGTTTAGTCAATTTAGTTTTTTCGTAAAATGTTGTCAGTTACTTTTAAAAGCAAAAAATAAATAAAATTTTTATTGAAGGATGAGTTTTAAAGATTTTTAGTTTTATTTTTTTAAGTGTGTACTTAATGTTTTGGTGCATATCTTATTAAAGACAATTTTATTTTATTTCTTAATTATCTTTTTTAATAGCCCAAGAAACACTGATCTTGAATTACTGCAGGCCATTTTAATGTATGAAATTGTAAATTCGATGTATGTCCAATAAGATATTCTTCCTCGTTCGCTTTCAAACGCTTCTTTTTGAGATTTAAATTAATTTAATTAAAAAAATTAATTTGAAATAAGCTTTGAAACATATTTCAGTGTAGTGGAAATAAATTGACTAGAAAATATTCAAAATTTTAATTTATTATACTAAATTGTCTTGCCTCTTTTTAAGCTATTTTTAAGCAAATTATTTCACAATGATTCTAGCGCAAAAATTTGTTTTAGCCCTTTTAGTCTCCAAAACATATTTACTACCCGTAAAAGTATAACGCGAAAAATTTAGTGGAACGCAGTTTCAAGGGACATTTTATTAAATCTAAGAACATTAACTTTAGAAAATATAACAAAACATAGCAACAATAGAAAGCTTTTTATATATAAAAAAAATTCTCATTAAAAGCTATGACATTTATTGACTTTGTAAAAGAATTTATGTTCCACACATACAACTGACCATGGTTTATTTTTGAATTTAAATAATGAACTTTTTTTAGTATGTCCCTTTGTTCCTTGTTCCCCTAAACTTTTCAACTAAATATTAAATTTTAGTTTAAATTTTCTTTTTTTTATAATGAAATTTTATTCAAAACTGAACGCAAAATTAATTATTTTGTTTTTACAAATGACAATTAATTAGACATTAAAATTACTTATGACAATTATTAGAATTAGTTATGACAATTAATTAAAAAAACATATAATTCTAAGTAGTAGGTGTAATTCGATCTGTGCATGTAATTCGACAGAGAAATTGTGTAATTCGTTCTGTGAACAATGCTGAGTACATTACCGCAATCATGGTGTTGGTCGCGAAATTGTGGAACCTTAGCATTCACGACCCAAGGTGGTTGTGTATATTAAGGGGATACTTTACTTTTTAACTAATTTCGTTATTTCAACTTAGGTATACCAGTACCGCTCTCGGAGAAGCCGAGAATTGTCCGAATGGACGATTCTTCCCTGACTTTAGGATGGAAACCATCAGTACCTACTGCTCCTAGAGTACCAGTCACTTACCAATTGGAAATGGCTAAGCATCCTAATGGAGACTGGACGCCATATAAAGCGGGTAACTTTTAATACTATAATAATGACAGTTTAACTACATGCTGAACTTAAAACACGTTTACTCTTCCCCTTCTTAGATTTTAGGTTAATTTCCGTTTGCCTTTTTTTTGGTACTTAAACTTTTGATGATCTAGCACAGGGGTTTCTAGCTTACATAACGCCGGGGGCCACAATTAAAAACACAAATCAGATGGCGGGCCGCAACTTTATCAAAATTTTATGTAGGATTCCTTTATGTTTGAAGGAACATTAAATATTACTGTCAGATTTTTACCAAGATGTGCAAAACAAAAGTATTGAATTGCAAATTAAAATAAGAAATAGATTTAAAAAAATATTTAATCGCATGTTAAAAAATTCGGGCTGCAATAACTTTTATGTGCACCTATGTATTAAGCAATTATTGTGCAACAGATATCTAATTGTTGAGATATAAAATTTTAAAAAGGATGGCATTAAAACTTACATAGTAGCACACAAAATGTTCAATGAGAAAATTGAGGCTTGTCTGCTGCAACCACCAGAGAATAGATATTTACATTTTAAATTTTAAATTTACAAATGTGTGTGTAAATATTTTCGTCCAAAATAAGTGGTTTGAAAAAGTTAAATTGGAGAATTTCTCCGAGAAAATTTTGGAAACGAACATGCTAAATTATATTCACGAAGTACAAAAAAAATGAAATAAAAAAGAACAACATACACGATTATTTTTGTATTTGAATAAATATTTTCTTGGATGCAAAACCTGAGAAATAAATTTCACAGAAACGAAGAAATTAGGTTTTTATTAACGAGAAAAGTATTTTAAGCACATATAGATTTTTTGTGAAAATTGTCAGCAAAAAAAAGACAACTAATATATTTTAGTTCACGGGCCACAAAAAAATGGCTCCGCGGAGCGGATGCGGCCTTCGAGCCACCAGTTGGAAACCACTGATCTAGCATCATTTTGCCTATACTTTTCAGAAAAGATTAGAAGCAAAGGATCGCTTTATTAGATAAGGAGAAATCGTGAAATTTTTAGAGGTTCTCTTGGTTTCTTTTTCTTGTTTGCAAAAATATTAAGAAAAAAATGGGTGGGATTTATATTTTTGAGTAAGTAACTAAAATCTCAACATTTTCCTGCTTTTAGATTTTTTTAAATTTAATTTTATTAGTGTTTATATTAATGAAAACCGATTTGGCTACGTTAAAATTTTTTATCGTAAATTACATAAAAAACAAATGTATATGTCAAAAGTCTAAAAACAGGCAAATGTAAAACGTAAATGCAAATAATGTGAGCTTACCTTTCGAAAAATTTTGATTTCAGAATTGCATTGATATAATTTTATCAGAAAAAAAAATGAATAAAAAATTTGAAATATAATCCGCTTTATATCTTATATTCTAATTGGATGATGGCCTTGTAGTCTATATATATCGAAGGGTATTACTGGACAAAGTAAATATCACCATCAAGAGTAAATTAAAAGAGTTTATCCTTTTAATTTACTCTTAAAACATTATCATATTTATAAACATTACTTTAAGAGATTGCTTAAATATAAATCTTGATACATTTAATTATTTTAATCTTTATCAAAAAAATATTTTTAATCATCTGCACAATGAATGTAAGCAAATAGTTTTTATTTATTGCATTCTGCATTGAAATGAAAAATAAACTTTGTTTTTATTTCAATTGAATATATAACCTTAGTTAAATTTCTTCTTTTTGTACTTCGAGTACTTAGAGTATTCACGAATAGGTAGATAAAGATATGGTAATTATAATATAAAACAAATTGAATCATAATTCCAAATTCTTACAGCAAAACTATTGTGTTTTGAAACTATTCCATAATTTTAGGATTGAAAGATACATTATGTGATGTTCGAGATTTGATGCCAGGTCAAGATTACAAGTTTCAGGTTCGAGTCCAAAATAAGCACGGCATAAGTGATCCCTCTCCATACGTCACAGCCCACCGAAGCAAGATCTACCAGCAAGATCCAGCAGATTTCAAACCGAAAGATTATTTCATTGATCATCCACCTTTATCTCTTTACGGTAATTAGAATTAAGTATATTATTAGTTTTCTTTAGCACGTGTATTTTTTTTAAGAAGAATAAGCCTTTATTTTTATAACTGTCGAATTTCTAAAAAGTATTTTGCATGGTTGTAATATTTTTTGCAACATCGGTTCGCCAATTACTCAATTATTGAAAAAAACATACCCAATTTTTTTGTTCGGAAATTTTTTGCTGAAACTATCGAAATCTTAATTGTTTAAAATTTCAAGAACAATAATATTCTTAATATTGTGTTAACTAAAATAATCTATACATATAATATTACAATGAATTCTTAGTACTCAAATTATTAAACAAACACGATACGCTTTCCAAACATAGCGAGGAGTTATTTTTTAATCCTACTTAAAAATTTAAAAATAAAATTATTTATAATCGTACTACTTTATCAAGCATACATCTGTAATACTTACCTGTAATATTGTCATTCATAAACCTAAAAGAAATAAATATTAAAATAATTCTTAAAAAAAACTTTTAATTTGAAAAATTTTAATTTATCATCACGAATTTGAATTTCTTTCGATGTTTCTCTTATGATTTTTTATCAAACGTTTCGTATAAAATAGAAGTATATTTTTTAAAGAATAAAAAAGGAATTGGAGAGAAACTACGCATATTTTTCTCTTAAATGGGAACAAAATCAATTCATGTATTTATTGTTCTCAGATCAGTAATTTCCTATAACTGTTTTGTTTTTAGAAATTTTAAATATTTTGTCATTCTTGTTTCATTTCGATAAAAAGTTCCTTGTTCAAAACTAATTTTTATCTTGAATGATTTGAAATCCCGAAGTTTTGGTTCGGAATCTGAATAACCCATGTCCGAACTTTTCTCTCCTTAGACCTTTGTATTTAGAAAATATATCAAATAACGTCTAAACATTAACTGAGTAGCTTAGAGAAAAGAAAGATCTAAGAGACATTTGAACAGAGAATACTTAGTACAAATATCACTCAGTTGTAACCCTTGCAATATCAATAGGTGTTTCAAGCTTTAAATAAATTTATTTATGTAGAGAGAATGCGTATTACAAAAATCAGTATTTAATTAAAATTTAATAAAGATTAGCTATAGCTTTTCGAAAGTTAAAGGAAATCAGAAACGAGGAAAGAAGGAAACGTCAAGGAATAAAATGAGTAAAAATAATGAGTTAAATGCTTATTTTTGTTTCTTCATGTAACTTATTATTTATTAATTAATTAAAAGGCAAATTCTAACACAATCTTTCCTTTTTATAATTAGCTGCTCCTCCAAAATTTGTGAGAAAGGAGGAAGATACTATGTATGGAGTGAAAGGTCATCCAGTGACCATAGAATTCTGGGTTTATGGTCATCCAGAACCCAAAGTCACGTGGTTCAAAGGAGATTCACAAGTAAATAATCCAATCTTAATTACTGTTTTTTTTATTATTATGAGCATAAGACTCCGTTAATTTGGCGTCCTTTTCGAAGAAATGTGATATGGCACTTGAACATTAGAGAATTGACATAGTAAAACAGACTTACCTACACAGACGCAGTAAATCAATCCACAACACATCAATCTGGTATATCCTTTTTCTTATAGTAAAATGTTATTCAGTTTGTCTGCTAGAAGGCAGAACCAATTTCGATGAAATCAAGGTACCTAGTTTTACCCATCTACACGGTTTCAACCCACTTACCCCTACATCATATTATTTATAATGTAAATATTTGAATTAAAAATAATGCAACTTCAAGTAAATAAAGTGAAAGTTTTTATATATTATGTAATAATTTATGGTTTACAAAAGGATTAGTGTTATTGTAAATTTCTCAGCATAATCATCTCCTAAAATAATTTAAAGCCTACATTAATTTAAACGAATTATCATTCATTAACTTCTGTAAATAATTTTACTCTTTCAAATTAATATAAACTTTCCTGGAAGCTATTTTATGTTAATGCGAAGTACTATAATGAAAAGAAGGTGTATTTTTCACGATATTTGAATTGATATAAGTAATTTACTTATTAATAAAACAAAATGTTGTTATGGAAGATCTCTCTGATGCATTAAGGTTTAATATTTTAATTGATATATTAAACAGAATAAAAGTACGAAATAAGAAATCCTTTAAAAATTAATCACTTTGTATCAGCAATAATCACTCTGGGGCAATTACTTTTTCAAACGTCATATTTCAAGTGCCATAAGGACTAAAAAATTTACATCAAAGCTAGTTAGGATGTTAGTAATAGAATACTTCCCGTCATATGAGGAACATGTTATTTTTTATGCAATTAATTATCCCGTTGTGACTTTTAATATAGAAACAGCTATCTTTGTCAGAAACCAATAATTTCCACGAAAAAAAATTAGCCAAAATTCAATCTACTTACTTTGACAACGTTTAATGCATCCCCAACAAATTTTAGAGTTGTTTCTTTCTGAACAAAAATTAAAACATCATTTCGCTCTCTGGACTGTGAAAATCCTTTTACTGCCTTTATCTTTAAAATTTGACAAATTCGGGATTTTAACTTTGTTGACCATTATCAAAAAACTGTATTCACGCCAATAGGTGCCAAGAGCCGAAGAAACTGCTGTAGGCGGGCATTTTTTTTTCAATCTATTCCCACGAATCAATGATGCAGAAATGTATTAAGAAAAAAATTTACGTACACTAACTTCATTTAGTCAAAAAAAAAAACTATCAAAATTTCCGACGTTCTACTATTTTTTGTAGGCGTTATAACGACTATGACCACTTATCCCCAAATATCCCTCAAACAAAGGATGAATAACTGAACGTTAATACACATTCGTGTCACTTGATTGACATCTTAATCAACCAATGCAATGAAGCTTTTAAACTGACTGTGACCATCATTTATGATTATTTCAGATTGGGAAAGACAAATATAGTTTCATGCAAGATCGAAATGGTAAACTGTGCGTGTTTATTGACTGCATGAATGATGATTATGTGGGCACCTACACTTGCCTGGCTGTTAACGATGAAGGAGAAGCAACCATGAAGATCAAGCTGTTGATTGCAGGTAAGTAATTAAGAAACACCATTTTATTCGGACGATCTTTGGGATTAATAAGAATGTTTAAAAATGTAGTTTTTGTACCAATAAGATATTTATGCAACCATGTTTTCCTTCAACAGTATTAAAATATTTCTTAAAGAACGTTTTTAAAATGCACGTGACACATTCACAGTAGTTTACCTACTGATGAAAGTGCCTTTTATTCGAATTTTTAATATTTAACGTTATTTCTCCTTTTTTTTTTAAATTTTTTTTTTTTATTTTATCTGTTTTTAAAACTTTGTGAAGATTAAATTTCGGTTCCAGTTTATAATTACGATTTTTTATCATTATAAACTCTGTTCTTAATTTATATTCATAACTGTTTTGGTAACACCCTTAGTTCTGGATTTTCTTGACCATATCAACTCATCATTTTTCAGAACGTCCAGTCTTCATCGAGAGACTTGATGAAACGACCGCTATGTCCAGACGCAGTGCTCGCATGCAATGTCGCGTGACTGGACTGCCTTACCCTAAAATAAAGTGGTTCAGAGATTGGCACCCCCTCTACGAGTCAGAGAGAGTGAAGATTCTGTGGGAAGAGCCAGACAAGTGCACCCTCTTTATAAGCAACCTCATTACCAGAGACAATGCCCTCTATTCCTGCCAGGCAGCTAATATTGCTGGAACTGCAACCAGTTCAGCATCTCTGAATGTCGAAGGTATAAATTTCTGTTCTTTAAATTATTTGTTGTTTTAATTTTATCGTACCATTATTATTATAAAAACTGAAACATAGACATTTCTATTTATTTTGTTCGGTGGTATCACTCACAAAATATGCAGATTATGTAAATATCCAAATCTGCTTAGTATGTCAAATCTGCCACCGTAGGCCATAGCTTGAAGATTCTTGGTTTATATTACATTGGACTCTTTCCACTGTAAGAAAATGGATACTCAAATTTCAAGAAACTTTCTTTGTTTTTAACGAAACCGTTTCCTGGTATTTACTCCAAGCAAACATTTCGTTAAAGTGATGAAATAACAACCGTCACTTCTTCAAGTAAACGAATTTCATTAAGAGTATAGAAATATTTCATCTTTATATATTTTTTTTCCAAAAAAAAGACCCCTCATAGTACTCATTGTACCGAATGTATCTAACTTTCTTAAAATCAGTTTATCCTGGGCACCATATAACTGGGTCAATGTCACCCTAATTACACAAGAAAGACAAATGGAACACAGGGGGAGAAATTACACCCATGCCCTAAGCGGGACTCAAACCCAGTGTCTTACTGGTACGAGGCCAACTCCTTGACCACCACATGCACACTTGTTGGTTTATTTCGTCATTTATTTTCGATCTCTAGCCTTTATCCTGGTTTCGTCAATCTAGCTAACACTCACCTACAATGCACTAAGAGGAAGTTTCGAATTGAGGAAACATTTTCGTCAGATATTTGAAAGTTTCCATTCCGTGATCACGTGATTTCGTCACGAAGTAGTTCTCAAAATTAACGAAATGTAACTCAAGGATTGCTGAATTATAAAAATTGAGAGTTTTATTTCTGAGAGTGTTTAATACATCAAAAACGATTTTTAAGATGAAATTGCAATGACTTCAGTTTCAGACATATTAGAGATGAGATTTCTGAGAAAAATGACGAATTTTACTGGATTTTGAGCAAGACTGGAAGATTGAATTATACGAACAAAGCATACTAAATTGCAGCGCTCTCAAATATTTTCACCATTTGCATTATTCGACTGCGTCTGATCATTTTGAACAAACTTACAACTAAATAAATTTTTTCACTTTCAGAAGCTGAAGATATGTTCGATTTCAAAACGTTTTGTCGTCCAATTCCTGTCAGATCACGTGTCAAGCCATTTGAAGATTTCTATGACATCGGGGATGAACTAGGAAGGTAAATTACATTCCATCGAATTTAAAATAGTGAATTTGAATAGAGTAAACTTAACTGTAAATAATGTTTTTTAATTATGACTTTTACTATTTTTGTGCAGAGGTACCCAAGGTATCACGTACCATGCAGTAAAGAGAGAGACAGGAGACAGTTTTGCCGCCAAGACCATGCACGGCAAAGGAAAACTGAAGGACTTCATGAAATCTGAGATGGAAATCATGAACCAACTATGTCATCCCAAACTGGTTCGACTACGAGATGCTTTTGAGACAAAAGACACTCTGACATTAGTCACTGACATGTATCCTTCGTCTTGTTAGTTTAATTTTAAGTTGAAATAATACAGGGTATTTATAAAGTCCCGGACCCGTTTTGATGTTTAATAACTCATAAAATAATAAAGATAGATTAAAATTAATAACATAAATGGTTAGATAGACTCAAAAAGTTTCATGACCCTTGTCAATGAACTTCCACGTGTCGTCCACGAACTTCCACGTCCCACTTCGTCGAATGGAGAATATCAAGTCGATACTCAATTTCACGCCAGGCAGCGGCAAGCATGTCGGCATCCACAGAGGCTATTGCGGTTGTAATTCTGTCTTTTAGGTCATCAATGTTCGACACGATCCTCCTGTAAAAATTGTCCCGTATAAATCTCCAAAGAAAAAGTCCAGTGGCGTTATATCAGGTGATCTGAGTGACCAAGGAATTAGACCTCCTCGCCCAATCCATCTTCCTGGAAAATGGTCATTCAAAGAACTACGAACGATGATACCTCAATGAGGTGGTGCACCATCTTGTTGCAAAAAGACATGTGGCTGAAGCTCTTCTAGTTGTGGAAATACGAAGTTTTCCAACGTGTCTAAGTATACGACTGATGAGACTGTCTTTTCTGTAAAAAAGAAAGCTACCTGGCGTGAAATTGACTATCGACTTGATATTCTCCGTGCGACG